TTTCTATAAGGTTGCAACCTTCAACAATGCAATTAAGGCGCACCTCCAAATTTTATCATCAATGTAATTTTGGAGTAAAAAATTCTTAGAATTATCTGAAAATCTATATGCATATCTAATTATAAAATTTTAAACTCCAAAAATTTTTAAAGTCAAGTAAACCTATAAGTATATGATAATCTTGAAAATGGACAGTCTAAATAATGTATTGCAAGATACAATATTTTTGGGACTCATTATCTTTATATATATATATATATATTCATACATCTCGATGTCAAGATGATCAATTAGAGGGTTTTTCAACATTAAAAAAATATTATCTAATGGATTTTTGAGGTGCATCTGTAATTCTACATTTTTAAGGTTGCAACCTTATATAAACTTTTCCATATATATATATATATATATATATATGGATCATGTCGGCCCACGAGCTGCTACAATGGTAGCCAACCCGATCCAATGGTCACGACCTCATTAACTATTTGAATTTTTATTTTTTTTACAAGTCCAAATCACTTGAAAATTTGAGTGTCAGCTCACGAGCTAACAGCTACAGTGTCAACCAACGGCACAGATTCAATATGGGCCTGATCCAATGGTCATGATCTCATTTTCGATTTGAATTTTTACTTTTATTTCTACAAATCAAAATCACTTGAAATTTTGAGTATCTATTTTTAAAAAATAGGAAAATCTAATAAAAATATAATTAAAAAAATATCAAAAAAAATAGATTGCTCCAGATATCCCTAAAAAACTTTAGGGGTATTTTGGTTAATTAATATTTTTTGAATTATTTTTTAAATATTTTTATTAGGTGCTCCTTGATGAGAAGAATAAACGTCTAAAATTTCATGTGATTTGGATTTGTAGAAAAAAAGAAATCCAAATACAAAATAATGTTGTAACCATTAGATCGACCTAGATTGAATCTGAGCCGTGTTGGCTGACACTGTAGCTGTTAGCCTATGAGCTGATAGGATACCCTTAAAGTCCTCAACATTTTTTGCCACTAAATACCCTTGAATTGTAATACTAAATTTTTCAAGTGGAGGCATTTTTTGTCATTTAAAAGGTACAATGGATATTTTTATAAAAAAAATAATGGCATTCTATTAGTAGTTAAAAAATAATTAATACATCTTGAGGGTGATGTAATGGTCCACTATTTTTAATAAATGCTTTTATTTCTATTAAAAATTTCTATTTTATCCTTGTCTAATTACTTAATATACTTCTAGAAAAAAATTACTACACTATAGGATAAGGGTATCTAAGTGTTAAAAAATGTTGAAGACTTTTAAAGGTATATACCACTACGTGGTGTAGCTTAACAAAACCCCCACACACACACACACACACACACACACACACACACACACACATATATATATATATATATAATAAAGTAATCTTTCTTGCCGAGTCAACTAATCCAGCATTCTTGACTGAATGAATAAAAGTATAAATATTTTTAATATGTTTATCTATGGATTCAGAAAAAATTAAGACATCATCAATATAAACTATCATAAATTGATAATAAGCATTAAAGACATCATTCATTATTTTCTGAAATTTTGATGGAGCATTTTTTAGGCCAAATGGCATTACATTCCATTCATATTGTCCGAAAGGTACATTAAATGTTGTTTTATATTTATCTTTTTCTTGAATTTGTATTTGCCAATATCCTAATTTCATATCGAATTTGGAAAAGATACAAGCATTGGCTACTCTATCTAATAAATCCTTTTTATTGGGGATAAGATATCTAATCCATTTTAATACTTTATTGAGGGGTTTATAATTAATGACTAATCGAGGAACTCCTCGTTCCTTTTCAGCATTTTTAGTGACATAGAAAGCTGCACAACTCCATGGTGATGCGCATGGTCTTATTAACTTTTTTGTTTGGAGATCAGTAATTTCTTTTCTATACATATCTAATACGGTAGTATTCATTTGTATTGGTCTAGCTTTTGTAGGTATTTGTTTTTCATCAAATCCAGGTTCATATGGTAGACTAATATTATGTTTTTTCTTTTCCAAAAAGCATTGGGATGCTCACTACAGATAGAGGTTTCAATTTGTTGTTGAATTGATTGAATCTTTTGTTGGATCAAAGGATTCTGAATTTGTTCTTCTATATATTTATTTTTAATTATTTATTTTAAAGTATAAAGAAATTTTTCTTTATTATGTAATTGACTTTTTACGCTATTGATTTCCTTTAATTTTGGTTTATGGATAAAATCAAAGTGTATTGGTACATTTTGATAATTAGAAGATATTCCTGTTTGATCTATTGATAAGGGATATAGTAATGTAAGGAACAGGACTCCAAGAATAACCGCTTGGCTTAGTCCTTTGACCATGATAAATGGTGTATTGATACATTGTTGATTATTACAAACAGAAGCATTTGATAATTTATAATTGATAAATAGTCTACTGTCATCTGCAGTATTTAGGATCTGAGTTGTTTTGTCAAAATATTTTGTTGGTACTAATCCTTCATTGATGCAATTAAGGTCAGCACCTGAGTCTATTAAAGCTGATGTTTGAAACCTATAATCTTCTGCTACTATTATAGTGACTTGAACAAACTATTTTTGAATTATGATTTTATCTATCAGATTTACAGAAGGAGTTGTTATCAGAAGTGGTTTAGCTTCTGAGGTTTATGGTATCTCTTCCG